GGAAAGAGGGAGACCCAGCATGAGATGGATGGACTCTACCAAGGAAGCCTCTGTGGCCCTCCGTTTGCAAGTTCTGGGCCAGGCTGTTAACAGATCGGACATTTTGGAGGACGTTAATTCATGGGGTCGCCATAAGTCAGAAATGACTGGATGGCACTTAACAGACACACACTGGCTGCAGTCACACAGAACATTAGCCACGCTAGAGAGCCGGAAGATAGGCGGATTTTCCGGGCGCGATCACAGCACCACATCTGGGAAGCGTAGAGCTCCCGTGGCTCACCCGAGGCTTCCTGCCGAAGATGCGGGGTAACCGCGGGGCAAGGGCGGGCATCTGATCGCGTTTCCAGTGGCATCCGGCGCCCGCCCATGTCCCCTTGCAAAAAGGGTTTCCCCCCCCCCCAAGTCTCCATGGATGCGCACAAGCACCCAACGGAGCATGCGCATACATTGGTGTACAAAACCCGCCAAACCCATTTGCCGCTCCGCTTCTTTGCCGCGCCGCAAGTTTTGTCCTATGATCGGCACCTCCCCCTACCCACGGGACCTCCATGGGACCTCCACTGAACCTCCACAAGAGGTCTGATCGCGCAACCGCGCGTTATTTAGCCCCGGGGCAAACAGCCACGCCTCCCCCCCCCCCCCGCGATATCTGGCCTGTGTGACCGGGGCCGTAATAAGGCAACTTTAAAGCTTGAGCAGTTTGAGTTCTATCTGAGTTAGCAGGGAATTGCATGCATTTCTGCTTCTGGAAAGGGAGTGATCGGAGTTATCTGTCTCACCGGGAAATGTCGAAAGGTTCTTATCTCTGACACGTGATCTTCTGTCAAGTTAAACAGCCCCACATCATCGCAGAGCATACATGCTTGCACGCTTTAATGTTCTGCCATCAGAGATGCTTTTAGGGCGATACCACTAGATACAATATGTAGACAGACTTTGTCCTTAGGGCTCTCTAAAAGATATAGAATCCACAACACACACCACACTTCATTGCCCCCTCTATAGGGATATCCGATCTCGTTTTATTACTCCACTTCTAGAGGGTGAGAGCTGGCATTCTGATGACTCAATGGTTCACTTTCTTCTGCTTAATTCTAATTGCGAAATAATGGAGGCTGTTGCAAAATGTTTATATGATGCAATCAGAAGATGAGGCTTGAACAGCCAAGTGTAAGTGACTGATGCATCTTAGTCTTTTCCCGTATTTCCATGATGTTTTGGGCTCTCATGCCAATAAAGGTTTTGTGTGTGTGTGACACATGATTTTTATTTGTCTAACTGTTGAACAGGAGGAAAGCCAGCAGGTCCGACAGGCTTTTCGGGGCTTCGTCAGCCGCGAGGTGGTGGGGAGAGCAGCGAAAGGAAAGAGCCTGCACGCTTTTTGACCCCCCTGCGTCTCATTCCCTTTTGCTCAGGTGAGTCTTTGTGGTAAGATGCACAGAGGTGGAAACTGGACTTGTGTCACATGGCAGCCCCCAGACGTCCTGGCGTCTTTTTCCCTCTTGTTTTTATTTTTTTTGGAAGGAGGTGGACGAGGACACAGCTGAGGAGGCCTAGCTTAAGTTGCCCCCCACCAAGAAGAAGAAGAAGAAGAAGAAGAAGAAGAAGAGATTGGATTTATACCCCACCCTTCACTACCCAAGGGAGTCCCTTCCCCTCCCCACAACAGACACCCTGTGAGGTGGGTGGGGCTGAGAGAGGTCTGACAGAAACTGCTCTTTTTCAAGGACAGCTGTGCCAGAGCTTGCGACTGACCCAAGGTCGCATCAGCAGGTGCAAGTGGAGGAGTGGGGAATCAAACCTGGTTCTCCCAGATTAGAGTCCGCGCACTTAACCACGACACCAAACTGCCTCTATTAACTTATGATTATTTACTGTGATCCAGGTAGAAAGAAAATATCTTACCAGCAAGAATGGCTTTGTGGTCCTGCTGCCTCCTCTAATTGTGCTATGCGGCTTCTGTAAATAAAGAATATCATTATGGGGGGGGATATTCTAATATCTGAATGCAGGTGTTATTGTACGGCCCATTTTGTTGACTGTACTGACCATAAATGACATAAATAAATAAATGCGTTTCCCTGCATGCTAGCAAAGATGCTGCTTCTGCAACTTAGAATCATAGAATGTTAGAATGGGAAGGGATCTTGCAGGTCATCTAGTCCAACCCCCTGCCCTCTGCAGGAGCATAGCCGAAAGATAGCCCTACAACATACCCGAAAGATGGTCGTCCAGCCTCTGCTTGAAAATGTCCAGTGAAGGAGCATCCACCACCTCACGAGGCAGTCTGTGTTCCACTGCTCAACCACTCTTATAGTTAGGAAGTTTCTTCTGATATTTAGCCGGTAACGACTCCCGTAATTTCCACCCATTAGATCTAGTCTTGCAATCCGGAGCAAGAGAGAATAGATCTGCTCCATCTTCTACATGTAAAGGTAAAGGTAAAGGTTCCCTTGCTCGAAAGCCACTCGAGTCCGACTTTAGGGTTGCGGTGCTCATCTCTGTTTCAGAGCCGAAGAGCCAGCGCTGTCCGAAGACGTTTCCGTGGTCATGTGGCCGGCATGACTAGACACCAAGGCGCACGGAACGCTGTTACCTTCCCACCGAAGTGGTACCTATTTATCTACTTGCAATTTCTTGCTTTCGAACTGCTAGGTTGGCAGGAATTCTACATGACAGCCCTTCAAATATTTGAAGACTGCAATCATGTCCCCTCTAAGCCTTCTCTTTCCCAGGCTAAACATACCCAACTCTTTCAGCCTGTGTCTGATGCCTTCTAACGGCACTTAACGGTGTTTTTGTAGTACCGCTTCCTTGACAATTGTATGTTGGCACTAACAAGACCCGACGGGAGAATGTGCAGCCTGCCTGGTTTTTCTCCGTATTCACTAGACGTTGGTCCTTTCCGCATCTGCCTGCTACTCTGGATTTTCTCTGTGTTTGAGTCGAGGCAATTTAAGTGCAGGGCAAAACAGCATCCAGATAACCCCAGGGCAACAGCAGGCTGCAACTGGGCTGACCACTGAAGGGAGGGAATGGGATAAGAGAAGCAAACGAGTCACTGAAAATGAGCGTAATGGAAAAGTCACATGATAGCAACAAGCAAAACAAGGTCTGGAAATGGGTGTATCCATGTGTCCCCGACTGGCTTTCTCTACCGCTGTACCTGCTCACTCTTGCCATTGTTGATTTCTACCAAAGAGGGTTGCGGGCTGCAACTCGGGCCTAAAAATCTTGCCCCCTGAGCCTGACTGTGAAAGGGAAAAGGAACTCTAGGCCAATGGTGTCGAACTCATTTGTGACGAGGGCTGGATCTGACATAAATGTCACTTTGTCGGGCCGGGCCATGTCTGCCATAAAACGTAACACCAGGTACCGGAGATATAAACTGTATAAAGGACGGCAGCTGGTAAGGTGCTCCTGGACTCAGAAGGAAAGAAGAGGTTGGATTTCTACCCCGCCTTTCACTACCTGAAGGAGTCTCGGAACGGCTTACAAACTTCTTTCCCTTCCCCCTCTCCACAACAGACACCCTGTGAGCAGTGTTCCCTCTAAGCTGAGTTAGTGTGAGCCGGCTCACAGTTTTTTAGCCTTTGGCCCACACATTTTCGTCTTAGCTCAGGAAGGATGGCTCCAGAGCAAACTAATTCATGCAGTAGCCACGTCTCTCGCTCACAACTTTAATGCCAGCAGCTCACAAAGTAGAGTTTTTGCTCACAAAACTCCACAGCTTAGAGGGAACATTGCCTGTGAGGTAGGTGGGGCTGAGAGAGCTTTTTCCAGAACTGTCCTTGAGAGAACTGCTCTGAGAGAATTTATGACTGACCCAAGGTCACCCAGCAGCTGCATGTGGAGGAGTGGTGAATCAAACCCGGTTCTCTCAGATTAGAGTCTGCGCTATTAACCACAACACCAAACTGGCTCTAGCGGTATGTCTCTGTGTATGTTATGTTCGTTTTTCAATGCGGGGAGGGCTGGATAGAAATCAAATAACTCAAAATCAAATCAGTGTTGTTTTCCATTTCCACCCCTCCAGCCTGCCCTGTGCCCACCATGTTTTTCACGGCAACACTCAGCACATTGTTTCTCCTGGGAGTCCTGCCCTCTACGGCCAGAGAGCATCGGGGCCACATTTCGGTGGTCCTCCTCGGCGCCACGGGAGACCTGGCCAAGAAGTACTTGTGGGAAGGCCTCTTCCAGCTCTACCTGGACGAGGTGAGCAGCGGACACACCTTCACGTTCTACGGGGGCGCCCAGGCAGAGCTCGAGCCAGGCCAGAAACTGATGTTTGAGCGGCTGAAGAGACTGACGTGTCCGTCAGACGTGGTGCCGGACCGCTGCGCCATACTGAAGGACCAGTTCTTGAGGCTGACGCAGTACCACCAGCTGAAGACGGCGGAGGGCTACGCCGCCCTCAGTGAAGAAATCTCGACCATGCTGAGTCAGGAAGGCCTGGCGGAAGCCGGCCGGCTCTTCTACTTCTCCGTGCCCCCCTTTGCCTATGCGGAGATTGCCCGCCACATCAACGGCAGCTGCCGGCCGCCTCCTGGGGCGTGGCTGCGCGTGGTCCTGGAGAAACCGTTTGGCCGCGATCTCAAGTCTGCCCAGCAGTTGGCGGAGGAGCTGAGGACGTTCTTCCGGGAAGAGGAGATGTACCGGGTGGACCACTACCTCGGCAAGCAGGTGAGCGTCTTTATAGGAATTCGGCCAGAATGTGACTTCCGGGAAATCCGTTGGGAAATAAAAACGTGTGGATGACTCCACGAGTATGAGCAGTCTTTAGCAATGCTCTCTCTCAGCTGGTGGAGCCTTCTGAGCAAAAATTCTACTTTGTGCGCTCCTGGCATGAAAGTTGTGAGCGAGCGATTTGGCTGCTGCGAAATGAGTTTCCTCCGGAGCCATGCTTCCTGAGCGGAGACAAAAATGTGTGAGCCGGAGGCTAAAAAACTGTGAGCTAGCTCACACTAGCTCAGCTTAGCGGCCGGGAACACTACCCACGAGTAAGGCTGCATCTACACGTGCAGCAGAATGAGGTGGTAGACTGTACAGCTTCAAACTGTGCATGCTCCTGAACACGTGCAGCATGACTTTGCTTGCTTTTGCAGAGCTATGTGCAGTCTTGTTTTGCCTTCTAGCTTTCTGATGAGGGTAGGAGTGCGGCCCTGGAAATATTCTGCTATCTGTGATGAGATGGCAAACAGAAATTGCAATGGGGTTCTGCTGCAACTCCCCACCCCCACCCCAGTTCCTTGGTTATCGCTTTGTCAACCTAACAAAAGTTTGAGTCCTTGCGCACACAAAAGCTTATCCCCACAATTCAACTTTGTTGGTCTTAAAGGTGCCACTGGACTCAAACTTTGTTCTGTTGCTTCAGACCAAAACCTACCTGCCTGGATCGACTGTCAACCTAAGTTACGCTGAAGTTGGATTGTGTAGAAATGGCTCATATTTATACTGAATATATGGCAGGCTGATTTTAAAAGCACGGATCCGTACTTACATTACCCTATTTTCTGGATCGCAGGGAAATGTAAGTACATACCTGTGTTTTTATGATCAGCCTGCCCTGGGGTCATTTCCTGCAGGAGCACACAGGAGCGGAGCTCCGGCAGTAAAGAGCCCAGGAGGCGGGCACATGCAACAAGCCCCGCCCCCTGCTCCCCGCAGCCCTCAGTTGGGCCATAAGGAGTAAGAAGCAGCCAGGTAAGTTGCAGAGCCCCCTGCCCCCGGCCTGCCTTCAGGTACAAGCTCTCCCTCTGTGAGGGCAGATCTACGCCCCCCCCCCCCACATAGCGAGCAATCCAAAACAGTTCAGTGGCACCTTTAAGACCAAGTTTTATTCAGGTACAAGCTCTCCCTCCTCTGCGAGGACAGATCTGCACGTCCCCCCCACCCAATAGCTAGCAATCCAAAACAGTCCAGTGGAGCCTGAGCAGTGGGTGTTGCCTTCTGACACACTTTTGGTGATGTCAGGGGGAGTGGCATATGCTAATATGCTAATAAATTATGCTAATAAATTATGCTAATGAGCTCCTGCACCTCTTTTTCTACAAAATGACCCCTGAGCCCTTTCTATATAACGGAGACCAGTGTTCCCTCTAAGCTTAGTTAGTGTGAGCTAGCTCACAGTTTTTTAGGCTCCGGCTCACGCATGTTGGTCTTGGCTCAGGAAGGATGGCTCCAGAGCAAACTAATTTATGCAGTAGCCCAATCGCTCGCCCACAACTTTAGTGCCGGTAGCTCAAAAAGTAGAATTTTTTTTCTTTCTTTTTTAAAAAATTATTTATGACATTTGTCATTTTATACAGCCACCTATTTGACACTTCCTTTATATTTTCAGAGTCTTTTACATGAAGTTATTTCCCCACCATTTATACCCTCTTAACCATCTTTTTTGGAATAGGGTTTCATCTTTCCCAGACTAGGATCTGGGGAACCAAGGTTCAAATCCCAGTCGTGCCATGGAAGCTCGCTTGGGTGACCTTGGGCCTGTCGCACGCGCTCAGCCTAACCTACCTCACAGGGTTGTTGTGAGGATAAGATGGAGGAGAGGAGAACGATGGAAGCCACTTTGGATCTCCCTTTGGGGGGAAAGGTGGGATATGAATAAATAAATAAATAAATTCTAAAAAAGAAGAAGAAGAACAACAAGGTAGAATTTTTGCTCACAAGACTCCGCAGCTTAGAGGAAGGATTGGCTGAGACCGTCTTCGGGTTGATGACAACCAGGTGCTCAGCAGCAAATTAGGAATCCTGAATTTAGGCTTTTTAGAGGCAGCATCGCTAGATCTGTACCTCTTTGGCAAGGCTGCCCCCAGGCGAAACCGGTGTGGATGTACCCATCGTCTCCTGGCTGTGGATGAAAGGACCCTACACGTTTTATGGGCTGGGAAGAAACTGCCCGGCATAACTTGCAAAACTGACTTTGCAATATCTCAGCGTGCTGCTGGGTGTGGACGTGAGTCAGGCAGGACGGGAGAGTCCAACGATAAAAACACAGTACAGAGATAAAAAGTAAAAGCTGGGTTTTAATTAATAACTTTTAATGTTTTGTTTCTATGGTCTTCTGTTTAGTAAGCCGCCTCGGGCTGAATCCCTGGAGAGGCAGCATAGAAATTTACTTGCATAAATCAGACGAGGATTACGTAGCCAGAGCTGGGTGTGGATAAGTGTTCCCTCTAAGCTGAGTTAGTGTGAGCTAGCTCACAGTTTTTTAGCCTCCGGCTCACACATCTTTGTGATGGCTCCAGAGCAAACTGATTTGTGCAGGAGCCAAATGGCTCGCTCACAGCTTTAATGCCAGGAGCTCACAAAGTAGAATGTTTACTCACAGGACTCCACAGCTTAGAGCGAGCATTGGTATGGAGGTCAGGCGGGACAGAAGGGTCCAACGATAAGACACAATATTAAGCCTAAAACATTAAAAGCTGGATTTTAGTTTGCTTTTTTTTTTTGTCTTTGTTTAGTAAGCCGCCTCGGGCAGATTTCCTCTGGAGAGGCCACGTAGAAATTAAATAAATAAGACAAGGACCGTGTAGTCAGAGCTTATAGGATCAGAGATAGGCACGATTGGCCTAGGCTGTAGAACTACTGGGCCTAGGTTCTGGGTTCAGGTTTCCTTGGTTCCTAACATATATAGGTCCGTAAGGATGGGCTGCGATCCAGTCAGGTCTTGGAAGCTAAGCAGGATCGGTACTTGGCTGGGAGACTGCCACAGGAGACTCTGCAGAGGAAGGCGATGGCCAACCGCCTCTGCTTCTCCCTTGCCTTGGAAACCACTTCCTGCCGCAGTGTTCCCTCTAAGCTGAGTGAGTGTGAGCCAGCTCCCAGTTTCTTAGCCTCCGGCGCACACATTTTTGCCTTAGCTCAGGAAGGAGGGCTCCAGAGCAAACTGATTCATGCAGCAGCCGAATCGCTCGCTCAGAACTTTAATGCCAGCAGCTCACAAAGTAGGATTTTTGCTCACAAGACTCTCCACAGCTTAGAGGGAGCGTTACTTGCTGGGGTCGCCAGAAGTCGGCTGCAGCTTGGTGGAACGTACATGCATAAGGATGAGTTGATCTCCAGGCTCCTTTGTGCTCCTGAAATGAATAAAGCCAAGCTAGTATTACAAAACCCCTGTCCTGATATTGGATTATGCGGTGGCTCTTTCATAAGAAGGGAATCTAATTCTTTATCAGACTGTATTTCGCCACAAGCAAATGAGCTTTCTTCCAGCGTAGAGGGTCCGGCTTTATGCCGCTTACAACTGGGAGGGAATCACAGCCCGGCTAAGAGAATTATCTGTCTATTTATGCCCCGCTTTTCAGGCCAATGGGATCCCCAGCTGGCGTACGATTTTAAATCAGTCACAATTTTTAACTAAAGCCCGTCGTTGAAATGCACAGTTCCGCTTGTCTGTGTGAAAAGCATTATGGGATGCTGCAGACTCTGTTTGGGCCTGGCTGACCGCTGAGGGGCTGGGACTGTCGTTTTGGTGTAGAGGCTAGGAGCGCGGACTCTAGTCTGGGAGAACCGGGTCCGATTCCCCACTCCTCCACATGCAGCTGCTGGTGTGGCCTTGGGTCAGTCACAAGTTTTCTCAGAGCTGTTCTCTCAAGGGCAGTCCTCGAGAGAGCTCTCTCAGCCCCACCCACCTCATCGCAGGGTGTCTGTTGTGGGGAGGGGGAGGGAAAGGAGATCGTAAGCCACTCTGAGACTCCTTCGGGTAGTGAAGGGTATAAATCCAATCTCTTCTCTCTCTTCTTATTCATTGGGTGGGGGCAGGGGTCTTTTCGTAGAAAAAGAGCTGCAGGAGCTCATTAGCATATGATATGCTAATGAGCGACTGAGCTATTAGCATATGCCACGCCCCCTGCCATCACCGGAAGTGATGGCAGAAGGGGAAGCAAACGGGGGGGGGAGGCATCTTCAAAAGCCTCCCCTCCCCTTCCCTTCCCCAGCTGGGGGGGTGAGCGAAGAGAGAAGGGGTTTAAACTTTAAACCCCTTCTTACTACAGTTGGGCCACAGGAGGAAAGACGGAAGGAAAGAGAGAGAGTAGAGAGAAGGAAAGAGGGAAAGAAACAGAAGGAAAGAAGGAGGGAAAGAAAGAGAGCAGGGAAGAAGGAGGGAAACAGGGAAAGGAGGAAAAAAGAAGAGAAGAATCCGGGAAAGAGAGAAGGAAAGAGGGAAAGGAGAGAAGGAAAGGAGGAAAAGAGAGGAAGGAAGAGAAGGGAAGGGAAAGAAAAGAAAGAAAAGACCCCTGCCACCCCCACGGATTCTGTGGGGCTCGGGGGACCCGGGGGCGGGGCTTGCCACGTGGGCGCGCTCCAGCCCCAAAAGACCCCTGGATGGGGGGGAGAATGTGCGAGATGTTAGTCCTCCGGCTGCTAGTTGGCCTCTTAACAGCTGGTCCTCATGTTGTCCTTCCCTGAAGGCAGGGGGTTGCCTAGATTGAATGCTCCCCAGCAAGAATACATGGATCTGCCTTGTACCGAATCAGACCGTCGGTCCATCAAAGTCAGTCTGTTCCACTCAGCCCGGCAGCGGCTCTCCAGGGTCTCAGGCGGAGGTCCTTCACGTCACCTGCCACCTCATCCTTCAGACTGGAGAGGCCGGGGATTGAACCTGGGACTGTCTGCATGCCAAGCAGATGCTCTGCCACAGAGCCACAGCCTCCCGAAATAATTGGGCAGCACGGGTA